TTGGAGAGCTCCATGAATTCTTTCCACCCCCAGTCGTGTTCTTTTTTACAGAATCGGTGTAGGGTGTCTGAAATCCTCCACATAAGACAGTGATTTAAAAACCACAGACTCAGCAGTAAAGATCATCACAAGTCATGCTACTTCCACTACTCTAACAAACTACATAAACAACACGGACTAGATCACGGCAACCCTACATGAAAAATCAGTTCAAGAATCCGCAATACTTCAAAAGGAACATGTCAAGATCCAGACACACCAACTCGTTCAAACACATTACAAAATCAACACTCAACGAATGAGAGCCGGCCCCAGGAACCTAGAATGGTGATAAAGGCACAAAATCTACATTTTACAACATACACCTTGAAAATTCATGAACTTTACCGGAATATTTAGATTTTTTGGGGTCCTTGTTAACAACAGCAATAGTAAACTGCGCAAAGTGACTCCAGCCTGCGTTTGACGACAAGTCCGTCACGAAGTTACAGTGCCACAATACTTCATGCCCCAAACCATATATAAAGAACTGCGGAGGATTGGCACTTCCAAAACTCCACTTAGGAATGCGATGCAAGACAGCTCTGACATGACAAACCGGATGCGAGAAAAGAGATTTCTACGAACACCCAAATGCGAAGCTCGGTAGTCTGAACCATACCAGGCAAAAGCTTGTCGTAGTCTGCAACACACAGAAAGAGGGATAAATGATTGCAAACATCGCATCCTTGTGGATACACCAGAATGTACCTGTGAAAATGCGCCAACGAGATCTCTTCAATAATTGACCCTAGTTGCTCTAGAAAGGGTTTTCTAACAACTCTAATCTCGTAAAATTAACTAAACTTGGCACATAATGTAGAGCTGCTAAATGCCTGTCCTGCAAACAAGAACCAGCATAAACTCAAACTAGAGTGATGCAATCTACAATTTAGCGTTCAACTTTAACTGGTTCTTGCCAACGGTATAATCAGAACGGGGACACAAAAGCATGATTTTAGTCTGCTGACAAACTGATGCCATGGAGCTTAAAGCAGAACTTTCACCATCATCACATACAAGCACCCACTCACTGCTCCAACCGACCTTATATCTACATGTAAACGCACCCCAAAGCCTCTGCACTCAAGCTCCTGAGAAACAAAGCTGATTACCCTGACTTGGGAAAAGTTGGGTGAGGGTGCCTGGGATAATACTGTCAGCGTTTAAAAGCTGTCACTCCAACATGCATTGCAGAAAGAGTGAACAAAGCAGACAGCGCTTAAAATGCACACGCATCGAGACACCTCTCACAGCCCCTACCGTTGCACTGATGCAGTAAGTTCTCAAATATGTGCCACAAAGTGAAGGCAAAACAACAAAAACCTCACCACTTGTAGCCACCAACTTCGAAGACATTGCTGCGCAGTTCTCGCTTGCTGATCTCCGAAAAATTCTCTATTTTCCAAGTGAACTTCCCATACAGGTCTGTGGGCTTAGGTCCTGAATTTGCAAAAGCTAGTAACGTCAGAAAACAACCGTGAGGACAATCACGCTTAGAAAGACATAAAGATAGCCAAATTCATATGTACAACCTTAAGAAGGATACCGCCTCCTCTGAAGCGTCCCCAACAACAAAAAGTCTAGACATAATAAGTATACACATAAACATTGACGTTCAACGTGGACATGGACAAAAAATAGCCCGCCCAAATTGAGCCTCACCTACTGAAGACACAATCAAGAACCTCATCTAATACTACCTTGCTGAACATCGAAAAAAGAATAAGATTCAACAACGACCAGAGAATTTCGTTACACGATTGGGATGCTCCTACTCAAGAAATAACGTAACGCTTATCGAAAGCGTGGGCAGGTCCATGACGTTGACAACTGCGTGCCTCCAGTTGCTACAAACCGAAACCAAACTGTCCATAATACCTTAACTACAAATTAAAAACTGAAAATCGTGCCCACTGCAATTGAGAAAACTACATCAATAAATACTGAATATCATAACAGCCTGCCATCCGCAGCTCACAGAAAGGACGTCGAACTCTATAAAGTAATACAAAATCAAACAAAGTAAATTTAAACAAAAGCGTGCAACTCTTCCTGTTGCATAAAATTCCATAGCCTTGTTCAATCCTATGCGCTGATACAATTGCGTAGCGCAATTCACTCGAAGAATGCCACACCAAAGGGCATAAAAGCAAGCTGAATAAGCCATCATTGATAATGGCAACCAGTTTCGCTGACAAAGCAGATCACAAAGCAAGCTTCGTCATATCTATACTTACGACTGTATTGGCAGGTCAAGCCTCGTTTCCGTCCATACAGGCAGCACGCTACACGTTCACTATAAGCATCGCTTCCACATATATTGTAAGTTGGAAGGACAGAAAGCGAGACGCGAAATTTTGCAACATACCCCGTCCGATGTCCAGTGTCAACATTCATCACAGTAATCTAGGTCGAAATTGCCCCAGCATGGCAATGTGATGTCCGGATGCAATGGAGTGCTCGAAGCAAGCATGAACATGCGTGCTAGATGATGATTAGCGCTTATTCATGCATGCCGCTCGACAAAGCTTCCACCAAAACTTTCACCACGCCTCCATTCAAAGAACAACATGCCACCTGCCCTAACGTGTCCGATACCACCTTGCACATCCGCCAAACCCTACAAAGACCGTGGGGCTCTGCTGAGTGGAGCCCTAGACCTGATATGCCCTCTCAATACTCGAGTCATACACGGTCCAAACCACGACCACCACTCCAAAAGACAGAACGCC